ATGGTCATGGAGGGGATAAATTTGTCAGTCGAAGCAGACGGTGTATTTTTGTCGGGTATCCTTTTGGGAAGAAAGGATGGAGCTTGCATGATTTAGAGTCCAGCATGTTCTTTGCTTCTAGAGATGTTACTTTCTTTGAGCATGAATTCCCGTATGCACACAAAGATGATGCACAGCCAAACAAAACACAAGATTGTGGAATAAGTGGGACAGATGAGGTGTTGGTACCATCCACTTATTCACCTGGACTAGTAAATGGCGAGATGGAGACTGACCAGCGAGGTGAAGTCGCAGAAGAAGGAGTCAGTGTAGAAGAAGGAATCCACGTAGACCCGAATGCCAATACTAGTGAACTCATGCATTCTTCTGACGTTACCATAGAAAATGCAAGCAAAGACAGTCTTGACGTCAGAGGGGGGTGGCAATGTTGAGCAACAACAACACTCTGATTCTCATTTGGGGTGTGGGCATCGATAGAAACAACAGTCCACAAGGTTAAGAGACTATGTGCTTCACACCACACAACGCTTGAGTCCCTCTCCGCGTCTCTTTGTAATCACACTCGGCCAATCACATTCTACAAGTAGTCCTTACCCCTTAAATAGCTATGTGAACTGTAATAATTTTTCTTGTCGACATCGTGCTTTCTTGGCAGTTATTACTGCAAGAGTTGAACATACTTCTTTTGTTGATGCAGTAAAGGATGAAAATGGAGGGATGCTATGTAGAAAGAAATACAGACACTTGAAAATAATCAGGCATGGACTGTGGAGCCCTTGCCATACGGAAAACGAGCCATATGATGCAAATGGGTGTATCGAATAAAGTATAACGCTGATGGGATAGTGGAAAGATATAAAACTCGTCTCATGATTTTTGGGAACAAGCAGGTTAAGGGAATTGATTATAATAAAACTTTTTCCCCAGTTGCAAAAATGGTTACTATTCGTACCTTGTAGTCACAGTAGCTAAAAATTGGGAGCTGCATCAAATGGACATAAATAACGTATTCTTGCATGGTGATCTTCACGAGGAAGTCTACATGTGAATGCCTCCGGGTTTTCAGTCAGATAAACTAGGTATGGTGTGTCGGTTGCGAAAATCTCAATATGGCTTGAAATAAGCTCCGATATGTTGGTTTGCTAAATTAACCACAACCTTGAAGACATATGGGTTTCAACAATCATGTTCAGATTACTCCCTCTTCACCTTTCGTCAGGACAGGGTGCATGTGCTTGCTCTTGTACATGTGGACGATATTATCGTGTCAGGTAATGATCGTATGGCAATTCAAGTCTTCAATAAATATTTGAGTGACTGCTTCCATATGAAAGACTTGGGATCATTGAAATATTTTTTGGGCATTGAAGTTGCCCGAAACTCAATAGGAATTTTTCTGTCTCAACGAAAGTATGCTTTGGATATTATCTCTGAAGTTGGATTACTTGGTGCAAAACCTGCTCCTTTTCCTCTGGAGCAGAATCACAATCTCGCCTTGACAGATGGGCCCCTCTTATCTAATCCTGAGCGATACAAACGCTTGGTGGGGAGGCTTATTTATCTCTCAGCAACGTGTCCAGAGTTGTCTTATTGTGTGCATGTTCTGTCTCAATTCATGCATCAACCGCAAGATTGGGAGGCTGCATTGTGAGTGGTGCGCTACTTGAAAGGAAATCCTAATCAAGGAATTCTCTTGCGTTCAGATTGTGACTTGCAGTTATATGCATGGTGTGATTCAGACTGGGTGAGTTGTCCTTTGTCCCGACGTTCTCTGTCTTGGTGGTTTATTATGCTTGGGAAATCGCCGATTTCCTGAAAAACTAAGAAACAACACACTATGGCTCGTTCTTCAGCAGAAGCAAAGTATCGGTCTATGGCCATGGCCACATGTGAATTAAAATGGCTGAAGGGATTGTTATTGGCTCTTGGAGTTACGCATTCAAACCCAATGCGATTATATTGTGATAGTCAGGCAGCCTTGCATATTGCAGCAAACCCAGTGTTTCATGAGCGTACGAAACATATTGAAGTTGATTGTCATTTTGTACGGGATGAGATTCAAAATGGTTGCATATGTCCTACTTATGTATCGACTACCATTCAACTGGCTGACATTTTTACAAAGGCACTAGATCGTAGAGAATTTGAGTACTTTCTCCGCAAGTTGGGCATTCACAATCTGCATGCTCCAACTTGAGGGAGGGGGGTGTTAGGATTACAATTAGGATTGAATTAGGAGTCTCTGTTGTGATTGAATTTGGAGTATCTGTTTATCTGTTTATCTTCTTTGTTGTTTCTTCTTATCCTTGTAAACATAGGAGACTCGACTGTATATATATCAGCATTCGACATTCTCAATGAATAACAACAAGAAAGGAGAAACCAGAAAAGCTCTGGTTTTACAGGCCTTGAGGGAAGTGTTTTGTATCTGTGCAGTAATTGTATATCATGTAGTTCTTTTGCACCCATTTCATTCTCTCTTGGCTCCTTGAATCTAGCTCCTCATAAAGCCACGAAGCAATATTGGTACCGTTAGAGGTTGAAGATGGAGATTTTGTGTCACATGAAGAAGCACCGGAGGACCAAACACAAGCATCAGCTTTAAAGTTCCTGTATGAGGCCGTGAATGGCGCTCGTGTCCAGTCAGTTTTGACAAGGCCACCCCTTGTGGCCCAGTCGTCTGCATTCCACAGGCTGGAGTAAAAATCCTCATGGGTTGGCTCTTGGGGAATGGAACTCCAATTGACTCTGAATTGTTGAATTCTCTGATCGGAGTTCCATCAACAGAGAACACAATACGTTGGGGATTCCACAAAATGGACTAAGTGTGAAAATCAGCAGTTGGGTCGAACCAAAGGTAGAACTGTTGCTCTCTGTTACCTTTGCCTTGGCTGAAGACGTTAGTATGGAGGATGTAGGGGTCACCACTGAGATTGCCAAGGAATTCGAAGTCAAACTCATCATGGGTTGGTCCCTGAGATGACAAGTAGTAGGCAGTAACGGTGCCAGCAGAGTTGCCAGGGACAAGCTTGAGCTGCATATCAATCTTCCCGAATAGATACTCGTTCTTGGACTGAAAGCCTGAACCAGAGGCCTTGTCTAGAGAGAGAGTGAGAAAGAGTGAGAAGTTCCCTATTGTTGAGTATCTTTGCTCGACCATCGCCCCATGTGATATCGAAATCTTGGTAGAAATTACTAGCTGAAGCATCAGCCATATTTAAGGAGCTCAAAATTGAACCAAGTGATGATCCTGTTATAATTAGAAGCAGCCATACTGTCAAGCAGGTTGAAACTTGTTAAGGGCTGAGGAGATTTGATGGATGAACCCTGGAGCACAGGAGATCAAACAACCGGTGTTTAGCTGTGACTATTGGTTGATGGTGATGGCCTTTTATAACTAGTTTGAACTGGGCAGTGGTTAAAACTTGAAGAACAAGGCTGGTGGAGGACTGTTCGATCGGCCTCTCCTCTCAGTGTTCTGACCATCTCACGTAAGATTTATGAGTTGGCCAATGGCCAAGGCCTACTTGTCTTCAATCACTCAAGCGCGTGTCTAGAACAGCTATTATTTCATTCCAACAATATAAAGAAGTGAGTGAAGACTGAAGAGTGTCACGCGTTTCTTTGGCAGCGGTAGGTGACTGAACCCAAGACCCAAGAGGCAAAGAGCGGTTTTCTTTGGAATTTGGCTTGGCCGCTTCTCTCCAAGTGCCAGACCATATACAGCTGCTCTCCACTTTAGAGGTGCCCCACACGAAATGATCTCTCTAGCTTGTTTTGGGAATAGAGACATTCCTCGTTAGTGGTTCTGTGCTTCTCCATTTTAGTTTTTTACCAAAAGCAGAGCAATACTGTTCACCAAACAAAATCTTTTTATTCTGTGAGCTGTAGGTGCAGCTTCAAGCACACTAATGTCGTTTATTATCACGGTTAAAATAAAGGGTAAATTAGATATAGCTACCTTGTACTTTGGGGTAGGTGATAGATGGATATTTTGAACTTTCAATTGCAATATTTGAGTTCAACATTTAACAGACACTTGGGTTCACCTGTTAGTATTCGGTCAGTTAAACATTATATAATGTTAAAACTATTCTGTCCATTTCTTCCTATGATGAGTAATAATCTAATACTGTTTACGATATTAATTGGACTGTACAAGTTTAACTGGCATAAGAGTACTTTTGGCATTATATAATGTTTTAACTGGCTGAATATTTATGGATGGACCCTGCAAGTGTTTATTTTTTAGACTTCAGGGTATTCAAGTTTTGCAATTGAAAGTTCACGGTAACTATCTGTTACTATACCGAAAGTATAGGTACGTATCTGCAATTTATCTTAAAATAAAATAAATCTATTTATATTATTTATAAAAGTGTAGATATAATGTCAAACTTTTTTAGATTAAAATTACCTTTTATTTATTTTTGGGGTGAAAAAATATATAAAAATTGTTTTATTATAATTTTAATAGTTACTAAAATGATCATATTTATGTATTTAATCTATCTCTAATTATAAAAGTTAAAAATATAACTTCAATTATTACTTTTTAATTCATTTAATCCCTTCTCATTAAGTCTTTCTTATAGTTAAAGATGTCTTATTTATCGTGTCATCGAGAATGATATCTTACTCAAACTCAGTGGAAGTACTACGGATGATGAGGATGCCAAATGAAGAACAACCGTTGTTCGAGCTGTATATGATCGAAGCAATTAAAGAACTTGAAGCCATTGCATAGCAGAATCAAAATCAAGGATTTCTCCCAAGAACTCGAGCTGCCTTGGGTTTTCTCCCGTTTTTGTTTATCCAGTTTCTCACTCATCGGCAACTTGTCTGCCACATGATGAAGGAATTGACGATTTGTCTTTTGTTTTCGTTTTGTGTTTTATTATACTTTCATAATAATCTGTTTTTCGGTAAGCTATAATAATTGTTGTCTGTTTTTATTCCACTGAAGATTTTAGCAGTAAGCCAAGTAATAAAAACAACTGTTGAACAAAATTATGCCGTCTTATATATAGACTCATAACTTAATCAAAATTACAAGCAATTGCACCGTGAATAAGATACACAAGTGAAGATTATTATATATGAGAAACGAATAAATGAATGAACGAACGGTCTGTCAAAATTCCTGAAATAATAAAAATTAAGAAATAAACGATTGATGGGTATAGGAATTATCAATCTTTAAGAGGTATGGTGGTATTAGAGCTAGCATTCCAGAGGGAGGCCTTGAGGGAAGCGCTTTGTATCTGTGCAGTAATTGTATATCATGTAGTTCTTCTGAACCCATCCCATTCTCTCTTGGCTTGTTGAGTCCAGCTCCTGTGAGAGCCACCAGGCGTTGGCGTTAGAGGTCGAGGAGGGAGATCTAGAGTCGCAAGAAGAAGCACCAGAGGACCAAATACAAGCATCGGCCTTGAAGTTTCTGTAGGAGGCCGTGAAAGGTGCTTGTGTCCAGTCGGTTTTGACAAGGCCACCCCTTGTGGCCCAGTCATCAGCGTTCCAGAGGCTGGAGTATATCCTCATGGGTTGGCTCTTGGGGAATGGAACTCCAATTGATTCCGAGTTGTTGAATTCCCTGATCGGAATTCCATCAACAGAGAAGACAATACGTTGGGGATTCCACAAAATGGAGTAAGTGTGAAAATCAGCAGTTGGGTCGAACCAAAGGTAGAACTGCTGCTCTCTGTTACCTTTGCCTTGGCTGAAGACGTTAGTATGGAGGATGTAGGGGTCACCACTGAGATTGCCAAGGAATTCGAAGTCAATCTCATCGTGGGTTGGTCCCTGAGATGACAAGTAGTAGGCAGTAACGGTGCCAGCAGAGTTGCCAGGGACGAGCTTGAGCTGCATATCAATCTTCCCGAATAGAAACTCGTTCTTGGACTGAAAGCCAGAGCCAGAGGCCTTGTCTAGGGAGAGAGTAAGGAGTTCCCCGTTGTTGAGTATCTTTGCCCGACCATCGCCCCATGTGATATCAAAATCTTGGTAGAAATTACCAGACAAAGCGGACACGGTTAAAGAGCTTAAAATCACTAGGCAAGCCCAAAAGCTGAACCATGCTCTTTCAGAAAAAGCCATATTGCTATGCCTATGTACTAAGGAATTGTAAAGAATTAGCAGATTTGATGGATTGGAAGAAAGAATTCAGGAGAGTTGTTTAGGTTTAATTTTAGCTGTGAGTGAAGAGAAAACTCATTGATGGGCTTAATTTATAGCTGGTATGCGCTACGACTGAAGCTTAACCATGAAGGTGAAGAAGCCTTGAGGAAGGTTCGGTCTCTACTCCTCTCACATTAGATTATGAGTTGAATGGTGCCTACCAGTACCAGAGGAGAAAATGTACATTTTGTCTTCAACAACTTCAAGCGTGCTTCCAGAACAGTATACGTCAGAGAAAGCGTGTTTCTTCAACCACTTCTCTCCTACTGCCAGGCGCCAGCCTATGCACGCAGCTGCGCGGTCCACATGAAATGATCTTTTGTTTTGGAGTGGAGACATTCCTCGTCTTTCTTCTCACCGTGCCTTTCTTGCATAAATAAAACTAGTCGGAGCCGTGTTATGCATGTTTTTTATTAAACAAAATTGTGAAGACATTTCTAATTAATTAAGTGAAATTGATCTAATTAAGTCTACTTCAAGCATTATTTTTTGGGTCACAATTTAAGTTGTTATTTTTGTATTATTTTTTAGGTTTAAAAAACCTCTTCTTATTACAATTTTAATTCGATGTACCCTTTTTGGATCAAGGTAAAAAGGATAAAGTGAAGTAAAAGGAAAAAAAAATTTTCCAATGTATTTTAATAAATTTACATCTGAACGAAGTTGGTTAAGGGTAAATTTAATATTTAAAAAAAAATAATGCATTACATCAGAATTTTCTATTTGAAATGCTAATGAAAGGAAGGTATTTGAATATTTTTTTTTTCAAAGCAATAGGAGTGGTTTTTGTTAAGGTCAAACACGGGGGAGTTGCATAGGATTGTTAAAAAATCTAAGGAGGTTTTCTTTATTTCTAAGTGTAATTTAAATTGAGTTTAAATTAATTAAACTATATTTAAAATTAATAATTTTTTATTAATCCCTTATTAAATTTAATTAACTATATTAAGTATTTATTTTTCAATGGAATTTAAGTCAGTTTTAATTTAGCAAAATTTAATTATAAAACTAATAATTGTTGAATAATTTTGTATTAATTTTAAATGAATATTAAGTTTTTAATTTATCTTATTATTTTTTATTTTTTTCTATATTAATAAAAATGTTTTATCAATAATAATAATTAATAATCATTCTATTTTTGTTTAAGTAATTTTACTATGATTAATTAATTTTTATTATTTTTAAATTTCAACTAGACCTCATAATCCATAGAGCAGGACCAATGGTAGTAGAGGTGCAACTTGGACAGGTTGGATCAGGTTGAAGATCAACTGAGGCCCAACCCTAAGACGCAAACTTCTGGCTTGAACTTGGTCCAATTCAAACCCAGGCCCGAATTTTTCAACCCAGACCCAACCGCATATTAACCCAACACAATTTAGATTGGGTAACCAATCACGAGTCAGGAACCACCAACACGAAAAAAAACTTTGATTAACCAGTAACCACGTTAGATGACCTGGGCTATCAACTGGGCCTTTGTTGGAAGATAGGTATGTACCTACCCCCAACAATTTGTTGACCACAAATATATACCAATATTGTTAAATGAAGTTTGTACAAAAGCTAAAGCGTCATGTTGGGGAAGCCCAGCCCAATAGCCAAACTTTTTCATTTAAAAGGGTGTGGAATGAGTGACAATGGTTATGGATTCATGTCAAATCACATTCAGATTGGATCGATAGATGGAGTCACGTTGGGTTGCAGTGTACTTAACCCAAACTAAAATCCTAATCCTATCCAAAATCCGAAACAAATCCTATCGAACTTATATTATATATTCGGATTTAGTCCGCTTTATATTCCTTTAAAATAAAAAGAAACTAAAAGAATTGAAAGAGTTGATTGCTTTTTAACATATATAATAAAATTTGAATTTATTATTATAAATTTTATAATAATAAATATTTATGTAAAAGCAGTGGCCCACAAGCAGAGGCCCATGATTCATAAATGGCAGTCTATGAAGATGAGGGTGGTGGCCCACTTGATCTAGAATTTGCATATTAAAATCTGGATCAAATCTATCTATTAAAAAAGAAAATATTTTGATTAGTTTCAGAATAAGTTCTTTAGCCTTGGAAGGAGTACAAATATAAAAATGTTGTACTTGCTATTATTTTGTATGTAGTGCATTGTACTATTCTTTTCAAAGTGAGCCTTAGACTCAGTTTGGAAAGAGTATAAATACAAATGTGTAGAGTATAAAACCTTTTATTTTGTATCATTTTTTATGTATTTATATTGTATATATTTGTATTTGTATTTTTTGTATAGTATAAAACTATAAATACATACAAAATAGTATAAAATACAAGGTTTTGCATTCTATATATTTGTATTTATATTCCTTCTAAACCTTCCAAACTGAGCTTTATTTCTTTGTGAGAGTATTATATATGTATATATATATATATATATATATATATATATATATAATATATATGTAAATAGCTTTGTAATACAAAATATCAATATAAATATATAATTCTTTTTCCACTTCTCTTAGCTCACACTGAGAGGGTGTTCTTTTTTTGGATTTTGAGAGGGGGGAAATTAGTTAATGGGATTTTGGTTTTCATTGACCAAGAATTCCATATTCATTTTTCAGATTTATGTGGGGACTAGGGAAAGTTTATTTTCCTGGGAAGGTAAGTGATACCTATCTCCTATGTGGGTAAATAACTTTCCCACTTAGGGAGAAAGTTGCTAACACTTGAATGGGACAAAAATGCCCATTTTAATAATGAATTTTTATGGCTGAAATGGCCATTACCTTATTTATCTAAGAAATAAAAGAACATGGATAAATAAATTTACCCAGTGTTTCCTAGGAAAAACTTACCTGAATAAATAACTTACCAAAAAGCAAACAGAGCTTAAAAGAGAAAATCCGTCAACAAAATTTATACTTGTTTATGGTATGAGAGAGAGAGAGAGAGAGAGAACGCCTTGCATCTAGGGTGCTTAAACTCATGCTCTTTTATCAGTGGTTTCGGCATCAACTTCTGCCTTGACTTTTGGCAATTCCTGCACACCTTGCATCCATGGTGACCATGAAGTTGAATGCAAGTCTCTACCCTTTAATCGAGAGTGCATAGCTGCTGGAGCACATCTATTCAGAAGCTAAGACCTATGGTGAATTGGTGAATATAGAATATAATCTATGGAAATACTCATTGAGGAAACCTTGAGCCTCATGGTATATAGGCCTCAATACAACTCCAGGTGTCTTGAGACGTCCTTTGCTGAAACATCAAGTAGAGGGATCAACAACTTATTTGAAGCCTGTATACCATTAACAAAAGGTCATGGGCTATAGCTACGGTCATAAAACTCATAGTAAAAATATGGATGGAGTCTAATCACGGACAATTTGATGTCCGTAGCAAAATGTTGCACTTTAACTATAAACATTTTGTCTGTAGTTAAAAGATATTTATAATCACAATTGGAAAGTATTCGTGGCTATAGATTACAAAAGCAGAAATTGACTTATAACTACAAAGTTCATTAAATGGTCAATAATCTTGGACCAAAGCATAAGTATTATTTAAGTTCAAATCAGCCCCCTACAATGTCCCACAGAACATCTTACCGTGCATTGGGAATATCTCTGAATGATAATATAAGGAATGATGATATCATCATTGGAAGATGTTGCCGATATACAGCGGGAATGTACTGTGAAACGTTATGGGGGCTGATTCGGTCTCATATTATTTGCTGCTTCCATTATTGCTCGACCACCATATCCTCCCTTTGCTAAATTAGTCCCTTCTCTTGGAAGTCATGAAAGTAGATTTAATTTAATTTATTCTCAAGCATTGGTTGGGCAACAACAAAACAAGAATGGGAACAAGAACAAGACTCAAAATTGGAACAAAAAAAATTATAAGAATCAAAATGGAGGTCAGAATTTCAACCCTTGGGGGGTATTGCCTCCATCAAAACGAACAAACTAGGAAAACCAATCAACACCCCAAGAGCCAACAGTAAAAGACTGTTCAGTGTAATTAAATTTGTAGGAATTTTGGACATGAGACTTTTGATCATGGTTTTTAAAATCAACTCGGAGACCGAACCGGTCAGGGGTCCGGTTACCGGATTGAACGGTCCGATCGTTCAACTTGAATGGTCGGCTCGTTCTAACAAAAAAATAAATAAATAATTAGAAAAAATAAAAAAATGAAAACCGGTCAAAACTGCTCAAACGGTTAACCGCCCGGGTTAGTGGCTTGCTGACCAAAATCAATGGTTTTTATGGAAAATCCGATTTTGGGGAAAACCTTTTCCAGTCCGGTCCGGTTTTTTAAACCATGCTTTTGATTGCTTCAATCGATTTAATCGTGCTCATCAAAGAGAGTATCTTCCACAAGGACTTGGTAGCCATGACATTGAGCCGTCCAACAGATTTAGAATGGATACCTGATACAGAAGCAAAATAAGGTTTTTAAAACCGAATCAGACAGGGAGTTGTTCTGGGTCCGGTTCTCAGGTTGAACGGTTTGATCGTTCAAACCAAACAGATGGCCCGTTCTGAAAAAAAAACAAAAAAAAAAATAGTAAAAAAGTAAAAATACGGTAAAAAATTATTGTCTAAGTTAACAGGTTGACAGTTTGACCACCCAAATCAACAGTTTTTGGCTAAAAAATGATTCTGGGCTGAAACAGACCGGTTTCTGGTTTTCCGGTTCAATCCGATTTTGAAAACATTGGAGCAGATAATAAGTCACACGTCCAACAACGCAAGTACCTTTACGTTCTTGAAAACATATAACAAAGAGAGAAGGTTGTTATTGGTGATGGCAATAAGCTTGTTGGTACTGCATTTGCTGGTAAGTTAATAACTGAAAAATGCTTTCCTTGTTCCTAATTTGACAAAAAATTTGCTCTCAGTAGGACAATTAACAATTGATTATGACTGTATTTTTGAATTCTCATAGTGCAATTAATTTTAAACTATTAGATTGGTTCTATCTATTGCTATTCAGTGCAACTAGAAAATTAGACAACTTAATGCCAAAATTGTCTTTCT